AAAATTAAAAAAATCCGCAGATGACATGAGGACATGCAAACAAATTCACATAAATTTTAAATGTTTGATATTTTCTATATTTTTCTCCTCAACCATTAAAAGTGATTTCCTGCTTTTTATTCTATTGATCAAAATGTAACTCAACTGAGTAATTAAGAAACTTATGTTATGACAGGTAAAATTTGAAATTGTTTTGACAGGTAAAATTTTAAATAAGTACTTATAAAATACAATGAAGTTTTATCTAGAAAAGCATCTGGTCTGCATCCAAAAATAATTGCAGGCAAATATGAATGCAGAAAGGTGTCGATGACCAATGCCCAACATTCCTTTAATTTCCAAGGGGAAGTGAAGAGTTGTCGTGGAAAAAACAATTTCCATCTTAAAACTAAAGAAAAGAAATCACTGGAATTGTTCATTGTCTCATGGCAGACAGCAAGTCTTTAAAGTGCAAATTTATCATTTCACAAGTGAGACTCATCACGAAAATGTCCTTTGTCTGCCTCGGCTGTCGGTATTGGTCATTGAGAGTGTTTGAATAATTCACACCGCAGCAGTCATTGTTGTGTTTCCAAGGGAACAATAAGGAATGACGGATTGTTTTCTATATAACACAGGCCTGCTACCAAGACATAATTCTGATTTAACTCATTAATTAGAATGAGACTATTACAGCCAATGTGGCGATCGATTGTCATACCGAACAAAATGTAACCGTTATGATGGATATTATTGTCCTAAAACTATCATAATCAACGCAAATAAACCCAAACTATCATATCCAGGCTGATGAGTTTTCAATTCCATATGACATTTTATCAATGCTAATCAAATCAAATAATATCAAAACATAAATAAATATCCGAAAATATGAATTTCTGTTTTATATATTTGGTCATGAATTGTTTTGCAAGCGTTAATTTGAATTTGTCAGAATTTCTTCGTTACACGTCGGTCGAGTGTTGGCACATCTGATTCTATTATCTTACTAAACACTTATTACCAGAACAATGAACAGAGATCGATACAGTCCCATCAATTCGTTATCGGCTGGGATATTTCTCTGGATGCTGTGCCCATTGACGCCGTGACTCCAATTTTTTTTATGTTTGGCAGACTTGGTGTCACTGGGCAACTCCAGGGTACTCCAACAACCATTAATCATCGTCAATGCATCTTAAGATCATCAAGAGAATGCATGTCCCATTGATGAAAGGGTCCGATAACACTGTCTCAACAAACACTCGTATGCTTAATTCTACACAATATCTTGCAATAGGCATCCCCAATCTCACTGCAAATTCCACTTAAAGTACACCGTATAAAGATCCCCGTAAAGACAACAGAGGGTGAGGCTGCTCGTCCACGGCACAGGGAGGCTGAGCCAACCATATAACTCTTCTACAGATTGCAAACCAAATCCTTGTGGAATAGCTTTAGTTCTAAAACTTTTAAACCACATTTGATTTCCTGTAATCTAAATCTGTAGAATTCTCAATCCACTTTCTGAAAGCTTTTCCGGAGATTAGAAGTCCTTTCCTTGGTGAAATGGTTGAAATCGAACAATTATACTCGACCTACCATGACAAATAGAAATGGATTCCAGGAATGTAACATGTTCAATGACCTTGGATTAAGATCTGAAAGTAAAACTAGATTTACAACAAAACACAGGTCCCCTGCTTTCACTTCTTTTTCAGTAGAGCATCTTAACCTGTGTGCAGTCAAATGTTTGAAGCTTCAGGAATCACCTCATCATAGAAACGGATTTTATTTACAACCAAACTTGACCTTTATTCCCTTTTTGACAAATGAAGGAGAGAAATCAAAGCTCTATAGCAACAATGTCTTTGCTCTTGTTGATGAGGATTTCAACTTCCAAAAGCATTATATCTTTAATGTAGAATAAAAAAAAAAATGATTCATTTGATTTTAACATCTGCATTCTATGTTTCAATTTCACAGAACGAGCTGTGACAGAGATTTCTATCTTGTCAAAGTCTGTCAAATAAACAGGTTCAAACACACATTAAAATATAACTTTTTAACTGCTGTATTGCAAATTATGAAACAGCTTCCATATGCAGCTAGCTGCTGCCACCAGAAAAAATGTCATCATTCAAACGATGACACCCTTATCCACTGTATCACACCCCGAACTCAAATAAGACATAATCCCAGCTCCCTACGAGCACAGCACCAGCCACAACCAGTCAACCACAAAAAGTGAGAGAAAAAAATGGAGTACCCACGATTTTAATAAAGCTGATCAAAAGATCTAAGTCATGTGACTTTTGAAAACAATCACAAAAATGCCATAATAAACTCCAAATTGGACACTAAAACTGATTTGTGATAGGACAAACGCTCCAGACACGAGCTAGTCTAAAAACACATATTATAAATACTTGCTGGTCTCAGATTGAAAATTTAGAGATCATGGAAAATATGTTATAGGGTTTTAGGGACAATACTACATAAAATCATTTAGATGGAACAATGGTGGGCACCAGATACGATACAGCGTGTACAACCAGTAACTCATGCCAAGGCAGAGGCTGATAACACCAACTTTATGCAAAACAGGTATAAAATGCTCTTAAAATTTGCATAAGAATAAGTTACAGACGCAGCGTTCCAAACTATTTTGCATTAAAAATTCCATTCATACCACTAAAATAACGATGTGTCAGTTTTCATATTTTTATGATTTGAGATATTTTACATTTTTAACTAAGAATGATAAAGATTTATTTGGCTTAAATCTGCCATAATCCCGGTTGAGTGCACCACCAGTGTTGGAAGGTTACATCACCAAGAAACATGTGATCACGTATATCAGATTCAGCCCAACAAAGTCCAACTGTGCAAAAACAGTGAAAGTGCTCCAAAATATTGCAAGGACACATCTAGACTTTTTTGTTGCTATCACAAAACTATCTTTAGATAATTTTAAACTTTATTCCCCTGCTATAACGGACATATCAATAAACAAGAGGCCCATGGGCCTTACGGTCACCTGATATATTTTTACAGAGAGTTGATTTTGATTTTAACATGAACAAAAATATTATTCAAAGTGACAAAAAACAATAAAACCACCTTATTCAATATCTAGCTTACAGATTTAAGACTAAGAAAGTATTTGAAACTAGCACCTCTGATTCTAAACAAGGAAAATGAAGAAATTTTAGCACACTGACGCCTTTGGGCCCCACCCTCCAGCCCTTGGGGGGTAGGGCTGGCTCAAAATTGTCAAAGTATCAAACTGTCAACTCAGGGTTATAATTCCAATCAAGTTATTAACATGTAATATTCAAAGTATCATTTGCCATTATAAACCATAAAAAATTTTGCCCCCCCCCCCCCCTCCTTCCCTAGGGGTAAACGCGAGACCCTAGGGTCATAAACAAGACCCCTTCCATCTATGAAGAGAGTTTGGTCTTTGAGAAGAAGATTTTTGAAATTTCAGTCAATTCAACCCTTTTTGGCCCCACCCATCAGCCCTGGGGGGTCATTCAGGGCTCATATGTGCATACTATCAAACTGCTACCTAATACTGATAATGCTAACCTAAATTTAATTACTTCCAATGACAATTAAACAAATGTTGGTTCAAAATTTGATTTCTCTCTATATAAACTATAGTAAAGTTTACCCCCTCCCCAGGGGGAAACGTGAGACCCCAGGGTCAAGAAATTCACAATTTTGGTAAAGCACCTTAAGACCCTTCCATCTATGAAGAGTATTTGATTCTACCATATCTAGGTCTTGAGAAGAAGATTTTTATAATTTTAATCAATTTGACCCTTTTGGCCCCGCCCCTCGGGCCCCTGGGGGCTGGGGACCAAACCGGCCACTCCTTTTGTTGACCTTTGGCCATGGAAGGTTTCTGCAAAATTTCATTGAAATTGGTTTAGGGGTTTTGGAGAAGATGTCGAAAATGTAAATTGTTTACGGACGCACGACGGACGACGGACGATGACAAACAAAAGGCGATCGCAATAGGTCACTTGAGACTTTGTCTCAGGTGACCTAAAAACTTATATTAATTGCCAACCAACTTTTAAACCCTTTCACATAATTTCCCCTATATATATATATGTATTTATGAAAAGAAGCAACATATAATGATTATCATTAGAAAATCATTCAGGTCCCCTAGACATTGTAAGATATGTTTTAAGCTGTTAGTACATCTTCCTATGATTTGCCAGGAATCTGCCACAGTAATACACTTGGGGCTAGCTTTCTTTAAAGAATCAGCAGTTATTTGACTTATTGGGCATATATCAGCAGTCTGTATGGAATTGAATTTCAGTCCCGTAATCCCACTCGACTATTCCTTGACATAACTATTTCCAGGACAGCCAAAGTCTTACGCTACAACAGCAACATTGCTCTGTAATTGTCTCCCTTTCTATGTCCCAGTGATCTTTATTATGAAGCAGTGTCTGGCATACTACAAACATTTACATACACATAAATCAGATTGGTAAAAACACCAGTACAGCTATCGGACAGATAGTCTCAGATTTGACTCCAAACAGAGTGCATGGGAAAAAGTAGCCTTGATTACCATAGAAATACAGCAACTAATTAAAACAATAACTGTATTATGCTGTAAACTTGCAGTTGAATTTTCATGACTTTATATGCCTGAAACGAAGGTATTTCGGTAATTAAAATTATGTGACACCTTTAGTAGTTAATTGTCTGTCTTACTCTCAATCCCATTAATGGTTGATAGTATAAATGTAACGTGGCCTTGAGGGACATAGCAAGTTGCTGGTTCCCAGAGACTAAATCTACATTCCAAAGCAAAGACAAGGTAAATAACCCTGGTTGACCAGAACCAGCTCCGCCTTGGGAAATAGACCTGATTTCTAGGAACTGAAAACTTGCTATCTTCCTCAAGCCCATACAATTTATATTAGTTTAGATAGCAATGTGAACCTCTATTTCCAGTAAATGTGTTTTTTAAATGAGATGTGACCTACCTCCCCGTGTGGTAGAGAACCAACCCATCCTCTAGACATGGCCATTCTGTAGAAGGTTTCAGTAGCCTGTGTGACATAAACAGCAAATAATTAGTAAACAACAGTAGCCTGTGTGACATAAACAACAAATAATAATTAAACAAACATTTTACAGAAACAACATGGGTGTCCTTGGGCTTTAAATACATGTACATAATAAATGGCTCTAGAATCTGGGAAGAATCTAAACTTAAAAGTGCAAAATTTATTGTTGTTTTTCATATTTTAGTCCCCAATTAAATCAGAGGTTATTGCTGAAATGGATTAAAAGCCTTTTTTTGTTAGAAAACATTATTTTGTATAAGATTTGGACATACATGTTTTTTGTGACTCCTAGGTCAGATCAACTGACTTTTATAAGATTTTGACAGACATGTTTTTTTGTGACTCCTAGGCCAGATCAACTGACTTTTTTTAAGATTTGGACAGACATGTTTTTTGCGACTCCTAGGTCAGATCAACTGAGTTTTTATAAGATTTGGACAGACATGTTTTTTGGGACTCGTAGGTCAGATCAACTGAGTTTTTATAAGATTTGGACAGGCATGTTTTTTGTTACTCCTAGGTCAGATCAACAGACTTTTTATAAGATTTAGACAGGCATGTTTTTTGTTACTCCTAGGTCAGATAAACTGACTTTTCATAAGATTTGGACAGACATGTTTTATGTGACTCCTAGGTCAGATCAACTGACTTTTTATAAGATTTGGACAGGCATGTTTTTTGTGACTCCTAGGTCAGATAAACTGACTTTTTATAAGATTTGGACAGACATGTTTTTTGTGACTCCTAGGTCAGATCAACTGACTTTTCAGGTAAAAGTTTGTATTGTCCAGTTGCTGTTTTAGTTACAATTCAGAATGAACAACATCTGTCTACTCCTACATAGTTAGTTCCTACCAGGCAATCATATCAAAACGCATGTTAGACCAGGGACTGTTATCATCAAACAGTTCACATGCTCAGGTATAGACCAGGGACTGTTGTCATCAAACAGTTCACATGCTCAGGTATAGACCAGGGACCGTTGTCATCAAACAGTTCACATGCTGAGGTATAGACCAGGGACTGTTGTCATCAAACAGATCACATGCTCAGGTATAGACCAAGGACCGTTGTCATCAAACAGTTCACATGCTCAGGTATAGACCCGGGACTGTTGTCATCAAACAGATCACATGCTCAGGTATAGACCAAGGACCGTTGTCATCAAACAGTTCACATGCTCAGGTATAGACCCGGGACTGTTGTCATCAAACAGATCACATGCTCAGGTATAGACCAAGGACCGTTGTCATCAAACAGTTCACATGCTCAGGTACAGTCCAGGGACTGTTGTCATCAAACAGTTCACATACCCAGGTATAGACCAGGGACCGTTGTCATCAAACAGTTCACATGCTCAGGTACAGACCAGGGCCTGTTGTCATCAAACAGTTCACATGCTCAGGTACAGTCCAGGGACTGTTGTCATCAAACAGTTCACATACCCAGGTATAGACCAGGGACCGTTGTCATCAAACAGTTCACATGCTGAGGTATAGACCAGGGACTGTTGTCATCAAACAGGTCACATGCTCAGGTATAGACCAGGGACTGTTGTCATCAGACAGTTCACATGCTCAGGTATAGACCAGGGACCGTTGTCATCAAACAGTTCACATGCTGAGGTATAGACCAGGGACTGTTGTCATCAAACAGGTCACATGCTCAGGTATAGACCAGGGACTGTTGTCATCAGACAGTTCACATGCTCAGGTATAGACCAGGGACTGTTGTCATCAAACAGATCACATGCTCAGGTATGGATTCTATATGCTCAAGCCAAATTTTTTGTTAGACGCTTAAGTCAACTAACATGGTTGAAAACACAAGCATAAACATTGAAAACAGTATTTGGCTTTTCGTCTCTCCCAAATTTGTCCATGTCTATATTTTGTTATTTCTTTACCACAAGAACAAGGATGTGGGCTTGAGCTCAGAAGCAGGGTTTGAGCATGAGAAAGGTTTCATGAATACGTCCCCTGGGGCAGGGGGATGCTCAACCAGGAGAGTTAAGCAATGGAATCCATCATCATATCCAAGTGACAAGGGAAAGAGGCATTCTACCTGAAGATGTGAAATTTGAATTTAGAACTAATGCTTGCCAAGGTTCCGATGCCTTTACACTGAAATATTGAATTTTCAGATCTCCCAAAATGTTTCCTTCAATAAATCAAGTTTATTGTCTGAAATTAAGCCTTTTTTGTTATTAAGATTCCTGCTAAGATGGGATGGACACCAGTGTATGAGGATAGAAATATAATTAGTGAGGAGGCGACTGTATTATGGGGTAGAAATATAATTAGTGAGGAGGCGACTGTATTATGGGGTAGAAATTTAATTAGTGAAGAGGCGACTGTATTATGGGGTAGAAATATAATTAGTGAGGAGGCGACTGTATTATGGGGTAGAAATATACTTGGTTATGTGTCGATAACAAGGTACAGAAAATGTTACTGTTGATCTATGAAAAACTACAGAGAGTACAGAACCATCGAATAATAGCAAGCTCACTAAACACTAAACAATTAACTAGAACAAATGTTTCATCTTCTGTTAACAAAGGATCAATGAAATCTCGATTTAGAACATGGTGAAACAAACTGTTCTTAAAGTGTTGTCTTTCCATAATAAACTTTTGAACTATTTCTATTTTCTAACAAACTCATCCCGGAACTTTGAAAGATGTAAATCATTTGTCTTTCTGACCGGCTGAGATGGTTTGGAATTCTTGAGAAATGGCACACAGTCGTAGTAACGATCAAGTGGGTGACCTATTCTGACTTCAAAGCCACTGAAATAGGTTGGTTAGGTCGTTTTTGACACCTCATATGTACCATAGGGGGGACCAGCTGTTATAGAACCATCCCCATAATGGTAGGAAAGCTGGAGATTCCAATACAGGTGGCGCCACCTGTCACAAATCTATTATCCAATCAGATCTGAACAAACGTATTGCACTGGCAGTGATGAAACTCACATGTTCTACTTCCTCATTATCTGGCCTTGATTAATGATAATGGGCTGACTGCCATGTTTATCTCACCAGCTTAGAGGTCTCGGCTCTACACTTATCAAAACCATGGAAAAGAATACTACCGGTTGGTGGCATATGTAATACTTCTGCCAAACAAAAGAAACACACCCAAAAAACAAAAAGGCAGCGGCAGTGACATGACCTATAACTGTGAAGCCCTGCAGAGTTTGTCAAATCACAGGAGGACCTACACAGCAGTAACATTTCACTGATCAAACACTAACGATAACCAATTTCTAGCAACTGTTCTTGAACATTTACTAATGGTGAAATTACAGCAAATGCTCTCTGACATTTAGGAATGGTGAAAGATTTCTTATCTTGATAATCTGAAGAGATTTGGTATGACAGAACAGCTCTACATTTTGTCCTTGTGCAAGTCTTATCACAGTTCTTCATGCTTCCACATTGTCACTGTACCAGCAGTCTAGATTTATCTAAGTGTCTGGTTTAACATACTGTTCATATATACACAGATAGCACGCAGATACAGAGATTGTAAAACACAGAAGAATTCATCCATTGGTATCATTACACTAAATAAAATTAAAAAGAAAGTTCAAGAAAACCTTCTGACTGGGTTCCCATTGAATTTCATTTTAGGGCCTCTGACCCACAATGACCATTGATGTCTGACCTACAATGACCTTGAGTTCCTCGACCTACAATGACCTTGAGTTCCTCGACCTACAATGACCTTGAGTTCCTCGACCTACAATGACCTTGAGTTCCTTGACCTACAATGATCCTGAAATGGATATCCCTTGTATGAACCTTGCATGGTTTTCTAACTTAATTGCATACATGGACACCTTTGTCCCCAGTGTGATTTATACAAACTTTTTGGCCAGCATTAACAAAATATTTGTTTCACAAACCCGACTCAGGATTTTAAGTTTGGGCAGGTTAGGAAAGGAAAATAGTTTTAAAAAAATCCTGATTTTGAATAAATTCTTTAAATCATGTTTTGGTAAATCATGTTGATTATGATCACTAGTTGATGCTAGAGCAGAGGTTATAAATGACATAACCAACGGCTGAATTCTAAAGCTCCAGAATATGAAAACAATAGAATATTATCAAAATTTCAATAAAATATTTTGCATATGGGCTTTCATTTACTCCAACAATGTTAGAGGTTTTACACGCAAAAAACTTTTGACAGGCGCCGCGTAACCTCTAACTGCCCATAGCTGATTTTCCCGATGCTGACGATCACATTTTCAAAGTTCGGTCAAAAGGGTCCAATAAATATTCCTTTCCATAAATCCATGATTATATGAGAAAAAATTCATGTCAAAGACATAAATAATGAGTTTTTCCACATTCGAAGCGAAGCAGACAGCATTTGCCATGAATTTTCCGGTCAATACAAAAATGGATTACATGTAATGTTTCACAAGCGGAATACAAACAAACTCCGTATCATTTCGTTCCGTTTGAAATCCCCCTTGCTATTTTGTATTAATCCAGAAGCCATGTTTTAAATGTAGGTCAGAGATGTGCTACAACGACATGGACATGTATTTTGAGTGTTCTATTCCGTAATATACTATATATTTGTGTCTATGACATACATATGAGGTCTATATTATACAAACCGTGAGTAGACATCGTTGTCATGAACTGTTAACTACTTAAGTGAGTTTTTCAAGCCGATTTTGTTCCGCCCGGATTTCGGGCGGAAACTGCATCAAAGAATTAGTGTTTCGGAAATGAGAGGTCGCAGTCGGCAAAATCATATCCGATTGAAAAAAGGCCGACCAGCGGCCTCTCATGTTATGTGAGAAGGCTTTCATTATGCTTAGGTTTAAGCTAACAATTTTATTTTTTTACTTTAGACCCTACTAACTGTGTATGGTGTATGATACAGGTGTAAGATATATGATTCTACGTGAGACTATTTGTAGAGCACCTCTGATGAATGTCCTCTAATTATTTGCACCAC